AAATTAAGTGTATCGTAAAGTTGTATTCGGAAAGAATAAACCAGTTTTATTTAAGAAAGGATTCGTATCGATAAAGTTTCTTCGGTAAGAATTTTTACGGAAAAGTTAACTAACGAACGGAAATGTAACAGTACGTTTTCATTGTTTTCTTAAAAGTACCACATTAAGTTCTATTTTAGCTGTTAGGTTATCATTTAATCTTCGCTATTATTTATATAGTTTTGTCTTTCTTTAATGATGAAAAATGCCTTTACCTTTTTGTTTTCATTTTCTTCTACTTTTTCGTTTCAGCAAAATGTGAAATAATAGACGTAGGACCTATTGTCTGATGACAACCTATCATTTTGAACTCTCTCAGACAAGTCATTATCTTTTTTTCCAAAATTGTACTCAATACTGTAAACGACACCTCTTTTGTATTGTATGTGAAAATTTAGTGAATGTGTTTAATAGTAAAGAAACGGGTCTTTTTTCTTTTCTTTTTTTTTTCCAATGTAAACGTTTGGTTTCCCGTTTCGCTTAAAGGTATTTTCAGCTGATCACTGTAACAGGCCCTGTAATCGGGAAAATGTTAAATTCCTAAAGAAACTGCAAGACAAGATGTTGAGATACTAGAAAGTTTTACTAAAAAACGGCTGTTCTGTATTATATTAAACATATTAGTAATATTTACACTCCTGTATGCACTATGTTACCGTAATTTTTTGTATATTTCCAATACAAGGACAAAGCAGAACTAAGTTATAATGAATAAAACAATTTTTAAAGATAGAAGATTACAGATACTATTAAATTGATAAACATTTTTTCTATAATGCTTTTATATTTCCCGGATAGGTGGCGAAATTGTTTTGATAGCAGAAGAACGAAGAGGCTAGTATATCCTAATTAAAAGATTAACGTCGAGACAATGCTGAGAATGGTATCGTAAAATTAAAAGTTTAATATGTGGGGATTATGAGCTGAACCGTTTGATGTTCTCATGTTAATCTTTCACAAATTGTGTAAAAATATTAATAAAAACTAATAATATGATGTGATTCAAAGTTCACTCTCTGAAGTTGGTATAATTTTTATTATAATATAAATTAAATATAATATATTATAATACGAGTTATATCTTAAAATTTTAAATTAATCGCGTTATAAATTAAATAAGTGACTCAGGCAGACTAGCGTGAGAGTTTAAAGTATATCACACTATAGAAAATGGCGTTTGGATTTTTGCCTATAGAGGTAAGCTTTTTTATTATTTAATTAAAGATCTTGTAATTGCATTGCATCATATTCTACATATAATTTGTATTGTTGTAGTTATAAATTTTTACCATTTACATGATCCATTATTCAGTAATTAATGCTAAAAATCAGTAAAACTAAAATTTAAAATGGAATTTAATTTAGTTATAACTATAACTTATAAGGGGTAACTGGTCTTTGAGCATGAAACTTATGAAAGTTTAGTTTCTTCCAATACAAATAATAATTACTATAGTAATACACACTAATACTAATACTATAATAATATTCACTAATACTAATACTGTTGTAATACTCACTAATACTAATACTATAGTAATACTCATTAATACTAATACTGTTGTAATACTCATTAGTACTAATAATATAGTAACACTCACTAATACTAATACTGTTGTAATACTCCCTAATACTAGTACTATAGTAATACTCATTAATACTATACTGTATAGTATGAGTGATGTTTTTTGAGTCATACATAGATTTTGTATTCCATTAAAGACATGTTTTGTAGTTTTATTATTGTTAAGAAATTCTGCCAGAAAGTAAAGAAGAATGTATAATAACATCTGAAACTTACTATATATTCGTTATTAACCAAACATTTTGTCCAATATAATTACCAGAGCAGGAACATGACAGATATAGTGGTGGTTTAGGTGTTATTTATTTAACAAACAACATGACAACAATAGTGAACTGAACTAAGTTGGTGGATTGTAATTTTATGAATGTGTTTGATTCATTAACTTAAGCATGCCAAACTGTAGAACTGAGTATCTGCAACTTGCATCATGTTACCACAATGACTGACAATCCAGTTCCAGTGTTCAGTCTGGCAATGTGTGGTGGTGATGGCTAGTGCAGACAGACCTTGTGTAACTTTGTACAATTCAAAAACCAAACAGGCAAACATTAATTTTAGTGATGAAAATTGATAGAAGTAAGTAAAACTATAATACCCAAATTTTGGAGGGGATTTTATTTGTTTGCTAGTTATGTGTACACTGACACTGTTACAGTAATGTTCATACAGTGACACTAACAACAAAATAATTACCTAATAAAATCAAGGTGGTTGATTATTCCATAAAAAGTATGTCCGTTGTTTCTTAGATTTATTATGGCACTGATTCAAATGTAAGATGTATACGTAATTTTTACACTAGGTTGGTTGGTGATTCTAAATCTGATTTTGAAATGCTTTACTTTTGGCAGTTTTTAATGTTATTATTTGGCAAAAGTGATTTATCCGTATGGACTTTGTAGTACCAGGGGGGTTAATTCCAACAGTTGATGTGCAGATTTTAAAGAAAATGTCTACCAACACAGTTTCTGGACAAGTAAGACAATTCTCTAAAGTTTTTACCATCTGTTTAAGACTTTCACTTTTCTCAGTAAACTGGGCTCAAAAATGTCACCTTTCATCAGTAACAACAACTAAAAACGTAAGAAATAAGTGTATTTTGTAGCCTTTCTTATCCATGCACTTTTCTTACAAAACTATCAAAGAATACCATGTCATTAGGATCTCTAACATCATAGCCATAAAAAATCAATAATTTTGTTAAACAAAATACATGAACTGCATTTGTATTTTTAAGTAATAAGAATAAACAAGGTGACAGAGGAACAATCTGAGCATTGAGGTTAGCCCTTCATGGTCCAAACAACTAGTGCAATCAACAGTACAGGTTAAAGTATTTTCTTTCCATTCACATTCAGAACAGATCAGACTTTAGGTAGGTCAGTCAATAAGCTTATAGTGCTAACAAGGTAACAGGTTTTACCAGAAAGCAAATCTACATTTGTACTATCATAGCTTCTAAGTTCTAGTTTACTTGAGATATTTGATATCATGTCTTCTTCAAACCTTATCATCTTGGTTCTAGTTGGGTTTTTTTTCTAATATAAGCACTTAACACTCAAATGTAAGAATCATGTCACTTCCTTATTGCAGTGATACATTTTTAAAATCTTTAAACCATTTTTCAGTACTCAGTCTTCATAAATTTCTTGTTGTTTTTCCAACATTTCCCTTCAGCCTGTTTACATGCTTATTATTATAATCAAGATGAGGATTATTTCATTCAAGTCCTGGTAACTCTGTGAAGCACTGTCTTCAGTTTAAATGTAACTCAAAAGTCCCCAGTTCAAGCCCATCAAGGCAGACTTCTTTATATCATGATATGTTACATCAGAACTCATCTTGTGGCTCTTAAATCTCAGAGTCATGGGTAAAAAAAACTTGCAGACCAAAGTAACTTTTATGTTACCTTAGTTTCTGAATAAACATTGTTTCCTTTACATAAACGAAAGGCATTACTGTGTTTAAAAACTGGATCATATCAGTACTTGAAGCTAACAATGTTTTTGTGTTCAGTAAAGTATACTGTTATTTCTTTACTGTTACTTTCATTAAAAGAATTTATTACACTGTTTAATACACCTAATTGTATGATTTTTAATGTTATACTTTTAAAAAATTGTTTTGCATTGTTAGCTTAATATATGTACTAACCCAAATCTACTAAGCTGGCTAAACTTTGTCAGATATTACTTAGTTTATGGCCAGAAACATTGTTAACAGCAAGGATACCCAAGCGATGAAACAATACATTCTCATCTTTATATGTAAAAATCTAAGAAAAGTATATTAAATTAGCTATACTTATTACCAGGGTAATTGTTCATCTTTATATGTAAAAGTATATTAAAATTAGCTATACTTATTACCAGGGTAATTGTTCATCTTTATATGTAAAAGTATATTAAAATTAGCTATACTTATTACCAGGGTAATTGTTCATCTTTATATGTAAAAGTATATTAAATTAGCTATACTTATTACCAGGGTGATTGTCAGTTTCATCCTAAGTGTGTAACATGCCCTGATTGGAAGTTAATATAGACAACATGAGACCAATTGGTCCTTCAAAGCTGTCTCTGTACAAAGAAATCAGGGGCTTTTTTCCTATCAATCCACTGGATAATCTTGTAAATTTTAGTATGATTACCTTTTTTCAAGAGAAAATGAGTTAATATAGTTTGACTTATCCATGTAACATAACCCTTCCATCCCTGGAATAATCCTAGTAGCTCTCTTTTCAACCCTTTCCAATAATTCAATATCCTTTATCAGATAAGGTGACCAAAACATATATAGTATTACAAATACAGGTTATTGACTTTGGGACCAACTTCAAAGTGCTTCCTCAAAGGCTTGGCTAATTTATTCATAACTATGTCAAGATCCTTTTCTTCATTCGTGTTATTGAGTGGGTTACCATCTGTATTAAATGTGTGACCCAAATTATGATAACCCAAACATTATTTTGCACTTATAATTAAATGTCACATGCCAAATGTTTATTTAGTGATCCAAGTTGTTCCATAAAATCTTGACATCATCAGTAGAGCTAGAATACCCAAGAGTTTAATGCAGTCAGCAAAATTTACTAATTTATGAACTAATCTCTTATCAGTATCCTTAATGTAAATAAAGAAAAGAAAAATTCCGAGCACTGACCTCTGAGGTATTCCTCTAGAAACAAGGGCCTAGTTTGACTGTACTCTGTTATTAACAAATTTCTGCTGTCTCTCGTCCAACCTCCCTATAATTAACTTTACTACTATTTCTCCAGCTGTGATTTTTTTAGCTAATCTTTTTTGGAAATCTAAGTACACCAAGTCCACACCCTTTTTATCATCCAAATAACAAGAAACATCCTAAATAATTAGCATGTTAGCAAGGCAAGATTTTCCTTTAGTGAATCCATGTTGATTTTCTTTTCACTAAATGATTTTGAAAAGCTTCTTTTATGAGACTAGAAATCTTACCACTACAGAAGTAAAACTAATTAGCCATTATTTCCAGGGTAATTCATAACCACTTTTAAAAATAGTATCTCCATCTCTTGACCTACCAGAAAGAAAGAGGTTTACATATCCTGTAAAAGAAAAATGTGCTGTATCTGTTTTTAAATCCAAGGGATTAATAGCTGCATGATTCAGGTCAATCTCAATGTTGATATACATACAAGTTATTCTGTTTATGAAACTGGATGTATATGTTACTTTTTGTTCTTTATGATAATTGATAAATATAAAATATCCTTAAGAACAACTAATTTTCAGTTTGTTTTTCAGATACTTACATCAGTATTCAAATATCTAACACCATCTGACAGGCTAACAGCCAGTTGTGTTTGTAGACAGTGGTATTACACTTCCTTTGATGCCAAGCTCTTGGAAGATATTACACTGGTTTTACATGACAATGCTGCAGCAGCTTTTGAGGTGTTGAAGAGAAGTCAGAGACGTTTTTCACACTTAGTGGTAAAGGAAGTGGATATTCTGTGTGATGATCAGGAGTTTTGGACAAATGTTGGTCAGAATCTTGTACGACTTGATTTTCATAGCTGTGACATTTCGACTCACGTATTTATTAACATTTTATGTAAGTGTCCACATCTTCAGGTTCTAGGTATAAATGGTTGCAATGGTTTGTTCATTTCGGGAACTCTTTTTGAGAGGATGCAAGACACAGGAAAGCTGGGAGCCATAATGCAGAATGTGAAAGAGCTTAATTTAGCATCGAATAGATATTTGTCAGACTCTTTGTTTTCTAGAATAGTTAAAGTACTTCCAAACCTTGAGAGAATGTCTCTTAGTGGTTGCCAGATATCATTTCATCCTGGAATCTATCGCAGATTTTACCCAGATGGGATGAAGTCAGTTCCTTCTAGTGCTGTTTTTACTTTCCAGACAGTCATGGAGTTTATCGAAAAACATAAATTCAAACTAACAAGCTTTAACTTTGGTAGAACCCTCATAGATAACAAAACCCTTACTGCTGTCGCTTCTTTGGAAGGTTTGCGGTTGGAAGAACTGTATTTGTCATCATGTGAACAGCTTTCAAAGTCAGGAATCATGTTGTTGTGCATGAATCAGCCTCAACTTAAAGTTCTTGATTTAAGCTTAATTTACCAACTAACAGATCAAGCACTAGTGTATGTCTGTGATTACTTGACCAATCTTCGTTCTCTGAGCCTACGACGATGTCACAATCTGACTGACCGTAGTGTTAAAGAATTGTGCCGATTGGTTAATCTGGAAACCCTGGACCTTTCCTCCTGTGAAAAGGTCACTCCTGCAGGTCTAAAAGAAGCACTGTGTTTTGAGAGTCATCCCAGACTCCATACAATTAATCTTAGCTATTGTAATGTGACTGATGATATAGTTTGTGATTTTGTTCATAAGCTACCAAACCTGACACATCTGGATTTGAGTTCATGTCTCACATTAACAGATAAAAGTCTTCATGCAATATCTTCCATTCTAGTGTTTCTTCACAGCTTGAAGCTAGCATGGTGCAAAGAGATTACAGATAGAGGGCTGACTGGAGGGAAAGGTATAGCTCCCTATCTTCAGCTATTTCAAATGCCATCAAAAGTAGCCTATAGAAGCATTTGTAGAAATGATCAATATAAAGAAGCTCAAGGAAATCTTTCTAGTGGTGATAATGTATATGGACATATACCAGGAAGCCAGTCTGACCATTTAGCAGACACAGGTCAAATTGGCCAATTTCCTCCAGCAATAACATGTTTAACTGGGTTAAGAGAACTGGACCTCTGTGGTTGTATTCATATTGGAGATGTTGGACTTAAAGGGATTAAATTTATGGAACTGCGTTACCTAAACCTAAGCCTCTGTCAGAATATAACTGATGTTGGACTGGTGATAATGAGCTCGTATAATCCAAGTCTAGACACGCTAATTTTGAATCAATGTCATCAGGTAAGAAAATTAACTATAATAGGTCTATTCAAAAACTAACTATAATAGGTCTATT